GCAGCTAATTTTACTTCATGACCGATAGCATGGGCTCGTGAGACAAACTTTCTCAGATTTAGGACTGCGTCGAGTGACGAAGAAAAGTGAAGTAGTCCAAGTTAGTAGCCTCATATATGCAATGGGTCCTGAGGCAGAAAAGATTCTGTCTACCTTTGGTCTCTCACAGGATGACAGCAATGTTTTCAACACAGTTCTGACAATGTTTGATGGGTATTTCAGCCCAAAACGAAATGTAATTCATGAGAGAGCTCAGTTCCACAAACGTTGTAAGAAAGAAACAGAGACCATAGAAGAATACGTCAGAAGTTTATACGAACTCTCTGAGCATACAGCTTTCCCAGATAAGGACAATATGATTAGGGATCGGCTAGTCCTGGGTATTACTGACAAAAAATTGTCGGAGAAACTTCAGTTAGAGCCTTATTTAACCCTTGAGAAAGCTATCACTATGACAAGACAAACAGAAAGAGTAAAGGCCCAAATCAAAGAGCAAAGATTGCCAAATGTCGATGCCGTTCAATCCTTTGGATCGAGAACCCTCAAACATGGGAGTGTGCATGGGGGACCACGCAGAGGATCCGCTCTGCGCGGACGCGGAGGAAGCAGTGACCAGCAAGACGTGCGCAATTGCCAGTACTGTGGGGGATCCCACGGCAGACAACAATGTCCGGCATATGGGAAAACATGTAGAGAATGCTCCAAGAAGAATCACTTTGCCAAAATGTGCCACACAAGAAAGAAAATCAACGAAGTAAAAGTGGAAGATGAAGAAGAGGAAGAAGCATACCTACTGTCAATAGAAACTAAAAGTAATGGAAAACAAAGGTAGCTGTCGGCACACACAAAATGCAATTTAAGATTGACACGGGTGCAGACGTCTCAATCATGACGGCAGAGACTTCGCTGAGTTAGAGCCGAGACCTGTTCTACAGAAGACCAAGATAATACTCAGAAGCTCGGGTGGTGTTTTGAAATGCCCCGGCAAGGCAACCATGAACTTAACAGTCAAAGGAAAACAATACCCAGTGACAGTTTATGTGACACCAGCACCAGAAAATCTTCTGAGCCGAGAGGCTGCCGCGAGGATGGGACTAGTAGTACGGGTAGATTCGCTGTTTGGAGGCTTAGATAAAAATGCTATCAAAACTAAACCAGTGAAAATCGAGTTGAAGGAAGATGCTCAGCCGTATAGTGTTCAGACAGCCCGTAGAATCCCAATTCCCCTCAGAAGCAAGGTCAAAGAAGAACTAAGGAAAATGGAGCAGGCTGGGATCATAGAGAAAATCGACGAACCAACAGACTGGTGCTCACCGATCGTGCCGGTGATCAAACCATCAGGGGGAGTAAGAATATTATGCACTGACTACAAAAAGCTGAACGCAGCCGTCAAACGTGAGAAATACATGCTCCCTGTCGTTGAAGAGGTCTTGCACAAACTAAAGGGTTCGACAATCTTCAGCAAACTAGATGCTACAAGCGGCTATTTCCAAGTTCCACTTAATGAGAAGTATGCAAAACTGACTACATTTATTACCCCTGAAGGAAGGTTCTTCTACAAACGCTTGCCGCAAGGGATCTGCTCGGCGAGCGAGATTTTTCAGAGGATGATAGAACAGATTCTCTGTGATCAGGGGGGAGCAATTTGTTTCCAAGATGACATTCTTGTTCACAGCAGAAATACAGAGGAGCACAAGAGACACTTAAAAGAAACATTTTCGAAGCTTGAGAATGCCGGGGTGAAACTGAACCAAGAAGAATGCGAGCTTAGAAAGGATGAGATTAAATTCTTGGGGTTCATCGTCAGCAAGGACGGGATCAGACCGGATGACGGCAAGACGTCAGCAATCATCGAAATGCCAGACCCCACAAACCTGACTGAGCTGCGCAGAATGCTGGGTTTGGTACAATTCGTCGGGCGTCACCTTCCAAATCTCTCCACTGTTCCCGGACCTTGACAGAGCTACTCGAGAAGGAAAGAGCGTGGACATGGGGTCCATCTCAAATCGAAGCAGTGAAAAAGGTCAAAGAACTGTTAACAGAAGCACCGACGCTGGCATACTTTGACCCAGAACTGCCAACGACAGTGAGTGCTGATGCCAGTAGCTATGGCCTGGGAGCTGTGCCGCTGCAAAAACACGAAGAGGGTGATCGTCCAGTTGCTTTCTCATCCAGAATACTGTCAAAGCCAGAAAAGCAATATGCACAAATAGAAAAGGAGTGCTTAGCATCCACATGGGCGTGCGAGAAATTTGAGAAATATCTCATCGGACTGCCAGCAATAGAGATTGTGACAGATCACAAACCCCTAGTACCTTTGATAAATACGAAGGATTTATCAGACACACCTCTTCGGTGCCAGAGACTGTTACTTAGATTGCTAAGATTTAACGCAACTGCCAGATACGTTGAGGGCAAGAAGATGCTAGTGGCTGACGCTCTCAGCAGAGCACCACTAGCAGACGAAGACAGAGCGTCACATCGAGACGTGCACACACACGTAAGAGAGGTAGAAGCGTCGTGGCCAGTCAGAGACACAACACTTGAAAAGCTCCAACAGGCAACGAAAGAAGACGTCGAACTGAACTGTGCCATGAGCTACACACTGAATGGATGGCCTGCATACAAAGAAAACGTTCAACTAGCTGCCAGAAACTTGTACGATATCAGAAGCGAGCTGAGTGTGCAAGACGGGCTACTGTTGAGAGGGAAAAGAATAGTCGTCTCATTAGAGATGAGAAAAGAGGTTCTTCAGAAGATTCACCATGGTCATATGGGAATAGCTAAATGCCGAGAGAGGGCAGCGCAGTCAGTGTGGTACCCACAGATTGGGAAAGACATAAAGGAAAGAGTGGCAAATTGTCGACAGTGCTTGGAAGAGAGAGCATCCCATCCCAAAGAGCCTCTGCTTCCAACGCCACTTCCCAACAGGCCATTTGAGAAGGTAGCACTTGACCTGTTTGAACTGAAAGGTCGGTCGTTCGTTGTGGTCATCGACTACTATTCATGTTATCCAGAAATTGGGTACTTGCCCAACCAGAAAGCCTCAACGTTAGTCACAAAACTGAAAATCATCTTTGCGAGACATGGCATCCCAGAGACAGTAGTCAGAGACAATCAGACCAATCTTACGTCACACGAATTTCAACGATTTGCCCAAGACTGGGGTTTCCAGCATATTACCAGTTCCCCACACTTTCCATCTGGGAACGGAGCGGCAGAGTGCAGAGTCAAACTGTCCAAGCGCCTGTTAAGGCAAGAAGACTACGCTCTGGCATTGTTGATGCACAGAGCTACACCAATACCAGGACTGGGGGCTAGCCCAGCAGAGCTAGTGATGGGGAGGAAAATGAAGACGACACTCCCAACACTTCCCACAGTCTTACAGCCTCGCACAGTCAACACGCATCTGCTGCGCGAAAAGGACAGAGTCTACAAGTAGAAACAAAAGTCCTACCATGACAGACACTTCGGAGCTCTGGCCTTGTCTGAGCTTAGACCAGGTGATCCGGTTTTCATCAAACTGGACGGACAACAGGGTTGGAAGCAGCCAGCCAAGGTTGTAAAGCAGTGTGCACCTAGGTCTTACCTAGTAAAGACGGCAGCAGGCGGCGTACTGAGGCGGGAGTCTGAAGTCGCCGTACATCCAGTTTCCAGCGTCGGAGTCCTCGGAGGTCTACCAATCTCCGATTTCTAAGCATGCTGATCCAGTCCTACCTCCAAATCCTGGGAGTAACAGTGGAGGCCCTCCAGAGCAGCCTCCACCATCTCCATCATCGTACTTGTCCATGGAGCCAGTGACGTCAAAAATGCAGAATCAGCAGGCGACATCTACAACTGCAGTGGCAGCACGCAATTCAGCAGATGCGGCAAAGCCATCGTTAAGCCAGCATGTTACCGTGACGAATGATATGAAACTCATGGACTGTTTCTCAAAGCCAATGTGTAGCTACATTGTGCTTTGAGCTAGTATTGTGTTGATGTGTTCCTTTGTTTTTCTTTTTCACTCTAATCAAAATAGAGAACATTGTGTTTCCAAATGGCCTTTTTCAGGTGAGCAGCACCCTGAATGTGTAGGCTGATCTCACCTGATTTAAGTTGCTGTGTAGACTAGCAACAGTTATAGGTTTATTTTACTTTATTTTTTATTTTCTGGTGGATTACAAGTTACCTTTACAGGAAGGACCTTATTTTCCAACACTTCAATTGCCTAAAAAGACCGCTTCAGCCAGGGTGGATTTAAAGTATAAACCGTCACAAGAAGTAAAAACTACATTTTAGCCCACATGTGAATAAGACATTGTTCCCCTGCAAATTTTAATTTAATGTCATTTTATGGAAACTAAAAGGGGAGATGTAATGATATGGGACATAATCCATAATCCACCACAGTCGCTTGTCCATTATACTATCAGTTGTTTCCCTTTCATTGTAAACACTCCATGAGCAGTTCTCACATTGTCTTGAGATTCAGGGCTTCTGGGAACATAGGGTCTGGGGTGTATAAAGCTGTGTCTGTGTCTCTAGTTTTTGGGCCATTTGACTGGTGAAGTAAACCTCGCTACACCCCGCGAGTTTTCTCCCACTGTGGTTGGATAGATGGATGGATGAATGGATGGATGGACGGACGGATGGACGGATGGACGGATGGATGGATGGATCCTTTCTCAACAACTCTCAAGAGCACATCGGATGAATACATTGGCACAGTCCATGCCGGCTTTAACTCATTCGCTACGCCGAGCCGTAGGGGGCGGCGCGGCTAAAGTGCCGTCAGTACGCTAAGCCGCCCCCGGCGGCTCGAGAACCGACGTTCAATTTTAGCTTGGTTTCTATTCCAATCCACATATCCATGTTATAATAAAGGTCATAATATAAAGCGTATATAAAGCGGGTCAAGCGTTTCCACCGAAAATCTGAAGTTTTGATTCAGTTTTGAAACACCATTTCGAAGTTTATGCGACATTGTTTTATCGCGAAGCCCAAATTATAGCCCAGACACAAGTCTTAGTTGCCTTCTTTTACACATCAAAATGTTTTTGTGTATAATTATTTTTCTCACTAAAGAAATGTAGGACTCTTCTTTATAATATTGATACTACTGGACTCAAATTGCCAGTGCACTGTAATTGAGAAATCAATATTTTTGAGTGCTAGATCTAAATAGTCAAAATATTTTTTTTCTCCCCAAAATCACTACTTTTTGGTGAATTTACTCTAAAAGTACCACCCAAGACAAATGTTTAGGTTTATTCCAAATGCAATTCTGAATAAATCCATATAAGATACAAATGTTTTTTTCTGTTTGTGATCCTTTTTTCAAAATTATTTTTAAATTAATTTTTTTTTCAATATCGGAGGTTATGATCCAAATGTACAAATATTTTGGAATGTATGTAAATAACTGCTCATTTTTCAATATTTTCTTGTTCTATATACAGATATGGTTATTTTGATGTATAATTTGACTAGGTGCAAACATATTTTTTGAGTTTCATCTGAGATTATTAATTTTTTGTTTTCAAATTTTATCCGCAGCCAATCACAATTGTGTTGCATAATCGCCTCTTACAGGAACCAAAGTAGAAAAATACTCAAATAAACAAAACAGATGTATTCTATAAACCATACTGAAAATGTTGGTATATAATATGTTGATATTTATTTGAATTTATGGCCCCCAAGACCTGTGAGCTGCACACTAGTCATCATCTCATTTCGACCTACCGAAAATAATTCGTCCACAAGCCGAAAATAGTACGTAGCGAATGAGATAAGCACGGTCATCGGGAGAAAGCTTAAGCGTGCTTAATGCTGAAGCGTGCTTGAGTGCGAAGTAGATATAATCCAGAGATTTTCATGTAGAAAATTTCTCGTGCTATTTCCCTTCGTTTGTAAATAGGCCTATAGCAGTCCTCCAAAAGTGTGCACTGTTATTTTTACCCGCCATGGTAGACTCTAGTTTCTGTTTGCTTAAAATTGTTTGATTTTGTTCTGTGGTCGTATGGGAATTTAGACGGCCAGTCATGATACAGCACACTAGGCCTACACACTGCCTGTGCGTACCACTGCCTTGCCACATTCATACCACCGCCTTCATCCCACCCGCGCGTGATACACAATCAGGATTAATGGATAGCGAGCTATACGTTCTCTGACCGTTTAGATAGCGAGGGTCAAAAGTGAAATC